CCCCAAAACCCCAAAACCCCAAAACCCCGTATGCTGAAATAAAGTCATAATTAAAACTAATTTAAAAATTGTTATGTCAAAACTGATTTAATTTTTAATCGAAATTTTTTTAAAAATCGTTTGCTCATTAGTAATAGTTTTATCCACTGGCTCTCTAAAGCATATCAACCGAAGATCTTTCTGCGTTCCAATCGGCTCTTCCTCTTGGGACCATGACACCACCGCCAATATTAAAGACATGTGGAAGTCCTTCACTGCCTACATGCCTCTTTCCTGCTAGCATATCATCCATTGAGATCTTTTGGAATATTGTTGCGCAACATACCACTAGGGCTACAATTAGTAGACCGATTAAAAGTGCTCCAATAATGAAAGGCCAAAATACTAGGTAGGTTCCGGTTCCTATGAAAGTAAATTCGACCTGTGATGATTCTTCTTCATGATCTACCCCATTCATAGCTACTGTAAGTTTTATTGTTTCTCTGTATATACTGTCTGGGTCATCTTCGACACTAGGAGTAACACACTTAATTACAGTCTCATTTATGAAAATTGCCTGTGTTTCTCCGAATCTGCCAAATTGACAGGTGATCCCTCCAAGGCCACTTCCCAAATTAACTAACCCTTATTATTCTGCCTCACTAGGCTTATTTACTGGAACTGGCTCAAAGAATTCAGTATTATCATCAGCCCATACAAGTACCTCAGCAATAGTTCCAACATCCACTTCGCATGGATCACATCTCAAAAGAACTGGTTGATCATAGAATCTGAATTTATGAGAAGACTCTGTCCATGGATCATATTCATCACTAGTAAAAGCAATTGAAAATGGCACATCCTAAGGGAATGTAGATGAAGGAAGCAACTTAAAGTCTTATGGAGCTTTGCAAACCATTCTTTCGAATGCTATAGTAATATAAATATTATTTGAAACTTACAAAGTATTTGAGCATCGACGATGGCATAATCTGCTGGAGTACCAAATCTGCATCTAGCGGTATTTCCTTCTTCATCAATGAAACCCTTTCCTTGTACTATAACATCTGTGACTCCAGTAGTTGGCCCGCTGTTTGGATAAATTTGCTCAATGCCATAGGGTAAAAACATTGTAGTATTTGTTAAATTAGTCCACGAATATCTATTAAGTGCGAGTTAAGCTGGCAAATATTCTCCTTCATTAACAAGCTCCATATCTTCAACAACACATTTAACATGCCTTGGTGAAATGTAAACTGCTTTTCCAATTGAATCTCCTATTTTGCAAGCAAGATCAACAAGATTGTAATCATCTCTGAAACCATCACCATAGAAATTGACAACTCCAAGACCTACTGAAGGTCCTTATTTAGGGAATATATCATCTACTATTGGTTGAGGATAGTATTAGAATCCGCCTATGAAATTATTCCAGTCTTTACCGTTAGGAGCAACAGCAAGAGGAACATTACCAAAGAATTATTCTCCACCTTATGCTCTTGGCATTGGGCATCTGATTTGCTTCCAAGTGACAGAGGTTGGGAGATAGATTGTGTTATTGATTTTGCACAGGGGATTAGTATCATTTCTAAATCCAAATCCTTCAATTATAATATCTCCACCATTTCCATCTGATGGACCACTTCTTGGGAAGGCTCTGGTGACTGAGAAGAATGTAAAAATGAAATCGTTTGTGTCATAATCTCCACCATTGAAAGTAACTTGCAATTTGACAGAATCTCCTTGTCCCCATCCACCAGGAGAAGCGCACATAATAGTAGTAGAGTTAATGTAAATACCTGGCATCTTCTTTGGTGGAATCTTAAGACTTACTGGAGAGTATCTGCAATTGAATTCACTTGGATTACTCATATTTGTGAAATTAGATCCGAATAAATAGACCATTGTACCTCCAGATTCTGGACCACTGGTAGGTGAAATATAATCTATTTGAGGTACTTCATAGTATGTGAATTTAAATCCAGTATCTGACCAGTCTACTCCATTCATACTAATTTCAAATGGATATTGAACTCCAAGCTCATCATTGGGAGGAGCTCTACAAACAATTCTTACAGTTGAATCAAATGTTGCTCTAACTATCTTATTTCCAAATTTACAGTGAGGAACAACACCATACTCCGGCATGTATTTGAACCAAGCTCCAGTAACAGCAACAGGAGTACCTCCAACTATTAATCCAGAATGAGGTTACATATCCTTGACCACACACTCTTTGTAGTAATAATACTCAACACTTGAAGGATCATATTCATAATAGACCCATGATTTTACAACATCTTCTTCGACAGTTTGAGAAATATCAATAGCTGCTGATGTATTTGTGGCATTTTTCCTTATTGTATGAGTTACATTCATTTTAGTATGGTATTAGATGCTAATATCCTTTCCAACTTCAACATATGAAGGACCACCATGAGTATGTGTCCAGTTATAGACTTTTGGAGGAATCATATAGACTGCATTATATGTGTATGTTTCAATCAAAACAGTATCTACTCTTTAGAATTGTGAAGCTTCATAGATGTAAGCTTTAAGCTCTTCAGATCCTTCTATCATATTCTCAAATTGCATTCTATTGTAAATGTAATCCTCAACTTAACTCTTAACAATGGTATCAGTTGTAAGGACTCCCCATTTAGCTTGAACTGAAGACTTGGGTGGTTTGAATCCTGTTCCAATTAATCTAGTTCTAGTACCACCTTGAACTGGGCCAGACATTGGTACTGATCTATGAATCACCAACTCTTATGTGAATAAAAAGTCGAAGTTTCCTTTAAAATCTTGTCCATTTACGGCTATATCGAACTTTACTGGCTCTTATTGTCTTCCTTTCAAATTCCATTTTGGTGTTTTACATTAGACTGCATTAGGAGTACCTTTTTCAAGTGGATATCTCTCCATTTGGCCATGAGTATACATCACAGTACCATCTTCAGCCTTGAATCTGCAAGTGAAGTTTGAATATTTTCTTAATCTATCAATCGGATTCTTTTTGAAATCGGTTTTGACGAAGATTTAGTTTTGAATATTAGCAGGGGTCTCATCGATTGAAATCTCTTTGTAATCAGGATCTTCATAGTAAAAGAGCTCTACGCTGTTATCTGTAAATCCATTTTCATAAACTGAAGCATCTATGTTTATTGGATCCCACAAAACATTCGTCTCAGTTTCTTTATAGTTTGAAACAGATTATGGGAATGTTGCAGTTTCAAGAGTATTTTTGTCGACATATTTTGCTGGTTTGATGCATTATTTTCCATTACAAAGGAGAGTTGTTTGAGGATTTGGTGAGCTATAGAGTGATTATGTCTGAGATGAATTGACAAATCCGAAACCTTTAATTCTGACTATTGTAGTTCCCTCAACTGAGATCAATCTTGGCTCAGCATTTAAGACATAGGGATCAAAGTATCCATATTATTTTCCATCACCAGTATAATCCTTTCCATTTAAAGTAATTTCAACTCTTAATACATCTGGCTTAGTATACTTTGGAATTCTGCATTTGATAAATGTCTCATTCAACCATGTTCCTTTGACATATATTCCTTAATTAGGCTCGCCGAATCTGACCATTAAATCATTGCAGTTTGATTCTGGGCATTTAAAGTTAGTTCCCTCTATTTCCATATATTCATCATTCTTAGCTTTAACTGGACCATATGAAGGATGAAGTTTAGTGATATGTGGGGATTCATAATAAGTAAAACTATAAGTCTTTCTTGGAAGTGGCACATTTTACCAATCTTAATCATTCAATGAGATTTACATTAACGCTTTGGTACCTTCTCCCATTGGTGGTGTATACCATTTAGCTTGATCATCTGAAAGATCTTCTGGTTTAACTTCATATTCTGGGGCTAATGGTTCAAAAGTATCAGGATCAACAAATCTAACCCAGAGTTTATTCTTATTCTTATCAGGATTGCCATTTAGATCTTTAATTGGTGTAAGACCTATTCCGTTAATTACAACTTCAGTGCCTCCAATGTTTGGACCTGAATGTGGCTTGCTTGATGAAATGATAGGCTCATCATAATATTCAAATGAATTTTCATCATCCTTAACATGAATAGTGAGATCCTTGGTAAATTGTTAACCATTAAGAGCAACTGCTACAACTACTGCATCTGGAATGCTAACTCTAGGTGATTTGACCCAAATAGTAGTATCTTTAGTCTCATTAATAGGTTTAGTTTCAAATACTGCAAATCTAACTGTCTTATTGCAAGCTCCCTCTTAATTAAAGTCTGAACCAATCACTTTTACTATAGTTCCACCTTTAGTTGGACCTGCACCTGGTGAGATTTGAACAATTTTAGGATCTTTGTAGTAATTAAATTGCTGATATGGACCTGCTATTTCTCTTCCACCATCAATTGTCACTTCTATGAAATAGTAAAGCATTTTATTTGTCATCATTGAGTATCCTTGGGAGTTAAGAAGAGATGGAGAGTCACATTTTAAGGTTCTTTCATCCATAATAGTAGCATTTGTGAAAATAGTCTTATTGAAAACGCACATCACCTTATTATGACCCATGTCAATGAAGTTTTTACCGAACACAGTTATTTAGGTATAGCCATAATCTGGTCCACACTTTGGCTCAATATCTTCAACAATTGGAGTCTCGTAATAAAGATATTAAACAGGTGATGAGTACATATCCATTTCCAAAGATACTGAAAGAGGAACATAGCCAGGATGCTCGACTTATGGAGAGTAGCACTCAATTTCCGAGGTAGAAAGGAATTTCCCTGGGACAACTGTGTCATTAAATTTACATGAAATGTTTCCAGTATCTCTAAAATTTGAACCAATTGCAATGACTTTAGTTCCACCTTTCACTGGACCTTCTCTTGGATTGATATCAAAGAGGTAAGGAGGTCTGTAATAGTAGAAAATATTGTTATCATCTGTGTATTATTGGTTGTTCAAGGTAATTTCTACAATTGATTATCTCAAAACATAAGATGGTGGTGAGTGGCAAATAGCTTTAGTTGAGTTAATGATCGTTGCTGGGACTTTAGCTAAATTCTCAAACATACAAAAAGTATCATTTGCATTATCAATGCTTTCATCCTTGAAGGGATGGAAGTTTCTACCCTTTAGGAGTACTTTTGTGCCTCCAGCATCTGGGCCTCTATCTGGAATAAGTTCGGTAATGGCAGGCCATGAATAGTACCAGAAAAATAATGTATCCTTTGAATTTTGCTAGTTGTTCAAGGAGATTGTGAATGGAATTGGCTTCTCAACTACATCTGAGAAAGGAGAATTACAAATCATGTAGTTAGAATTGATAAATGTAGCAACAACTGATTTTGAACCAAAAGCACACCTTGTATTTGTATCATAGTTTAAGAAATTTTCACCCCAAACTTGAACGATAGTATCTCCGTCCTTTGGACCATATCTTGGATAAATAGCGAAAATTCTGCTTGGTGGGTAATATCTAAATGGTATTGTGTTTCCTACATCAGAAAAATCTCCTGTTAAACTAATACTAAATGTAATAAGCTCAGCCTTTCCTGATGCTGGACTGTTATCGCATTGAAGACATACTTCATTCTAAAATTTGAAATTAAAAATAATGTTCGACTTTAAATGAAACCAACCTTTTCCTTGTGACGAGCCTCTCTTTCAGCGATTGTTCTAGATGCTGATGTACATAAAACATAGGTGGCTTCAACAATCATATCTTCTTTTCCAAATTTACACTATATAGTAGGGTAAGGTCAATTTCATAGAATATTATGAATCTTACCATAGGTTTAGGGAAATAAGGTTCCATTCCTGCAAATGGTCCTCCTCTTACTAAAACTCTAGTTTCACCTGAATGAATTAAAAATCATTTATTTACCTGTTGTTGGACCTGCTTCAGGTTCTATAGCATCAATTCTCACCTTCACTGGCCCAATAGGAGCAGTTGAATTAGGATCAAACAAAGGAGGCATTTAACTAGTGCCTGTAGTCTAGTCCAATGAAGGGTCAGTTTGATTATACTATTGATCTAACTCTTAGCCTCTAACTGAAGTTGAAAGAGCGATTGTTCCAATTAACGTGAGCAAGAACTTATATCTGAATGAGCTATAAGATTGCCGATTTCTTGAATTCGTCAGCGGATTGACAAATTAATGACCTCTCATTGAGGGATTCATTTGATTTGAAATTATTTATTTATTTGAATTACTTGTTAACTTTAATTTTAAAAATTAATCAAGTTTAGATAGATGATAATTACTGAAATTATACGACCAAGAAAAAACAAACCTACATCATAAAACATAACTCAACTTTTCATATTGGAGCCTCTGTTGTGTCATCGACAGGTGGAGGTAGTGTGGTCGTTGTTGTTGTGGTTGTGGTTGTAATTGTTGTGGTTGTGGTTGTAGTAGTGGCTGTAGAAGTAGAAGCGTAAACTATGTCAGCTGATTAATAAAATGAACTGGGTGGCTCTGCTACAATATATCTGAAGTAATAGTGTCTGCACCAGGGATTGATTAAAACAAAGAAGATCAAAATCAATGCAAATACCATTTAAGCAGCAATTGCAGCAAACCCAATGATCCATTTGTCGTCTTTTAGGTGACCAAAAAGCATCACAAATATTGTTACAAGGTAAAGGTACATCATTACTACAGGAAAAGCTACTGGGGTAATAACTTGTACCAAGAGAGCTATTACTAAAATGAAAAATTAGCGTTATTCCAAATCTAATTTGAAGGCTTTTAGCTTTCTATTAAGAACTTCTCTCTCCTTTTTGTTCTCGAAAAAGTATATAGCTGCCGTTACACCAATATAGAGCAAGTATAAGAAAAACACTGCCACTATTGTTGCCTTTTTACAACTAACTACCTCTGTTAGTAAGCCTGACATCTCAGTTGCGTCTTCCCAAGTATCGCACATTTTAAAATTTTGATTATTTTAAATTCAATATTCATGTTTCAATATTCAAAAACCAACGATTGGGGTTTTGGGGTTTTGGGGTTTTGGGGTTTTGGGG